ACACATACACAAAACACATCCTACATAGAAGTTAAAGTATTGCTACACTCATAATTAAAACCCATCAAAATCTTTCTTGATTTCAGTGACTATGTTCACTTTCACCACCCAGTCTTTGGAAGCTGCTATACTTTTAACAGCAAGGGAACAGACCCTTTTTGGACAGCTACAAAACCAGGAATTCCTTACGGTATGTTATTTGGCAAAAGGTGGGAAGAAGAGCTAAAATTAATATAATTTGGCTATGGATTAAATATGTCTTCTATACATGGCTTACTGACATAGATCCCTCTCTTCTAGTCTGGTGGCACAAATTATAGACTGTATTTTCTTGCTTCACTAGCCACATGTATATGATAGCCATATCAGCCATACCTTAACTTATAGCAAGCAGAATACTATTTTAGTTTTCAAGCAAAATATGACTACAGTTTTGGAATAGGCTGGTGCAATTGCTACCTCACAGCTCACCAGGTCCCTAAGGAAAAAGAATGGCTTTTCTGTGAGTTAAGACAGCAATTTGATCAGTGCTGACAATTCAAGATGTGGTGGTGTTCCTATTTTGGCCCAAAGTAAGTTGTTACATGCTTCCCTTTTCTTTGTGTTGCAGGACTTTCGCTTATCCTGAAAGCAGAGCAGAAGGATCACATCCCACTCTTGTCTACAGTAGCAGGTGCGAAAGTGATGATACACAACCACAATCAGACACCATTCCTTGAGCATGAAGGCTTTGACATCAGACCAGGCATTGCAACAACCATAGGCATTCAACAGGTTAGCCACTTGCTCAAGAGCATTGTTTCTTTTCCTTCTGATTGCAGGAAGTTGTGAGGAGCTGAACACAGTGACTGACTCACACAACAGATTTGTGGGAGTTTTATTGTTCACTTCTTGATTGTGCATGTGTATTTATGCAAGTCCCTTTTCACTATTCTCGAGTTGCCGTGGGTAAAATGAAATTATTTCAAATGTGCAAGTGGCCTTTTGGTCCTCAATACATTGGGGCCTGTTTTGTTTTACACTGAGGCTCTTACACCTCTTACATCTTGTTCCAGCTCTACACAGGGGGCTGCATGTGTATATTAGGATGAGAATAAATATTCAGAAGTGATTGGGTTATTTTGACATGATGAGTTACTGCTTGTCAGCTGAACCCCAGTGACTGACCACGTGCTGTGCCCTGTTGCTGTATATGTTTTATCAGCAAGGTATAGCTCAGCTACTCACATGTGTTACTACACTTCCTGTCCTCTATATGATGCTCCCTCCAGTTAAGTTTAGATGGTGATGGCTAGGTCCAATTAAAGCTCCTAATCACTCAGGCCTCTTTTCCATGTCCACAGGATGAGGTGAATCGCCTGGGCGGCAATTATGGGAAATGCACGACTAATGGCGATGATGTGAATGTTAAACTCCTGTACAACAACTCCTACACCCTGCAGGTACTGTCAGAGTGGCTGGCTGAGGCCTCAGTTTATTCAGAGTGGATGAATAGCAAACAAGTCATACCTTACTCTCCAGAGAACTTTTAGAAATCAGCAGGTTCATTGCTGGAGATAACAGGGAGATCCATGCCCCTCTGAAAAGAAGCTCGTAAACAGGGTGTTAGAAGTTGGAATGTGTTTTATTGAGTGGGGGATACTCAGTCCCAGGCACTAGGGCTCTTCCCTCCTTGTGACACAAGAGAGATCAGACACTGAGCCAGTCAAGGCAGCTGGACTGTTCTAGTAGGACATTCTTGGGCCATCAGGTCTTTATTTGTGTAAGTAGCTGCTCCTGGATCTAGATATTTGGGCTGTTTAACTGAGATGTTACTGAGCATAATGAAAAAGGGAGCTGGGGAAAATTCTGTGCTACTAAGCTCAATACTGTTTTCAGAGGTAAAAACAAGGAATGAAAAGCGAAAGCCTTTTGCATAATCGTGCTCTAGTAATGACTGGTGTCTTTTTCCAGTAACAAAATTTGTACGTTGTCTCCTAGCAGCTGCATGCTGCACACTGAAGATTTGGACGTTTGAGAATTTCTGGCTTATCTAGTCTTTTGTGCCTTCTTTATTCTCCAGGCTTGTTTACATT